GTCGCACAAACCCACCCAGAAACGAGGTGCTCCTTGGGCTTTGGCCCCAGGCGGCCCGAACTGCCTGTTTTGCCTCACATTATCATGAGTTGTACCAAGGAGGGAGCGGAGCGGGTGGGGAGAGGAGAAAGAAAACTTGCTGTGATTCCAGTAACATGTTGTGTCCATAGCTGGACGTGTCCTGCCAAATGCTCTGCAATTTTAGCTTTATTTCCCTCCAGGGACAACTGAGGCTTTTTAAGTCTGGTGTTGTGAAAGATCATTTCCTAGGGACCATGGGACTTCCGTGAGGCCATGCGGCAGGGCCTCCAAAACTCTTGAGAACATGTGGGGTACCACAACTGGGGGGCACCACGAGGAGGAAGAGACAGAGGCGGTGGGTGGGTTCCACCTGTAATGGCCCCTGAGCAAGGCTTGTGGGGGATGGAGGCAGGGACGATGAGGAGCTTGCACCAGGGGAAGCTCCACCCGTCAGGTGTTTACTTCAATACGTGCATTTGGACAGGTGGGAACACACAGCGGAGCCAGGCTCAGGGGGTCTTCCTAAAGAAAGGCTCCACACAGAGAGGGTTTCTGAACCGCTGCCTGACTTAGAGATTAACCTGAGCCTGTTCACTGAGACAGGATTTGCTGCTTCTGATAAAGGGAAGCAGCAGGAGGGGGGTGGAGAGAGTCTGCTGCTGTTGGGCCTGGCAGACAGAGGAGCCTGAGAGATCCCCGTCCAGGGAGAGGCGAGCTCTCAGCCAGCCTAGTGCTTTACCTCCGTCCTGAATGCCGAGCTACCACTCAGGCTTTCAGACTACAAGAAGCAAGTGACAGAACTGTGGCAAGAGGTCAGCACCCTCTCCTCAACTCTCCCTCCTCCCTAGGGTGCAAAAGCCAGGCTCTCCCTCCCTCCGGTATTAGGAAGCGAAGGGGAGGATGCAGGGAAGTCCTGAGCTCTGTGGATCAAAGGGAAGGCACAGGACACAGAAGACTGTGGTGTGTGAAGAGCGAGCTCCTTCTGGTTTATAGTGCATCTGCCCTGGTTTCCCTGAGGGGAGCGCGCTGCCTGTCGGACTGGGGATGGATGTCAGGTGGTAGGAGTCTGTGACAAAGCACAGCATAGGGAATTCAAGGGGCAGCCAGTCAGAGACACGCAAGCTGATCAGAGAGGAATTTAAAGAGCCTCGGGAAGGACAAAGCTATCAGATCTTGGTCCCGATGCTTGAGAAGGGGCAATTTTAAATGAAAACCAAGGAGCCATACCTCTATCTAGAACTTAGCGAGGGTGGTAAGATTGCAGAAGGCTCCCCAGGCCGTGCTGGGGGCAAGGCAGGTAGCAAGGCCAGAATGCCGAGAGCCCTTGGGTCGGGGCAAGGCCAGTGTCTACAGACAAAGGCGAAGGACCCTTCCCCATGCAGGACCCAGGCCAGGTCAGCTGCAGCATGAAAGAAGACCCCATCAGAGAGGCATTCCAAAATGCTACATACTTAGAGCCCCTGCAGCCAATGAAGGGCCCCGCAAGGCAGCTGCCAACCTGCTTCCTTGAGTTGAAGTAAGAAGGTGTAGGTGGCAGCCGTCCAGTGCCACAGGTGGGGGCACCGTGGGAGGCCCACGAATGCAGTAAGCAGAGGGAGCCAAAGCCATCAGGGACCTAAATATCCTCATGGCTCACTCAGCCCCAGTGAAGCGGCCGCTCCCCGCAGCCTGCCCAGAATGTACTCAGACTTTCGGGTAACCGTTTACTCACCCACCCAGCAAGGTACCATAATTCATGCCAAGTGCGTGTGCAAACAAGGAGTTCCCATATCGAGCTGACTCTCTGAATAAATGTTAAGATGAAACAAGGCACTGGCTCTGTTGATTTTTATAGATGCTCACAAAACGACACTAACTCCTAAGCATGAAAGGTAGGGCTTACCTGAATTTTCCAGGGGATAAAGATATTTATCCAAAGCCTTGGTAGGCCTGAGCAGAGGAGACCCTTTAAAAACCCTAAAGTAGAAGTGAAGATGGCCAGCTTTTGGATCAGGAGACTCAACCTCACCGAAACAATCACCATTCACTTGGCACCTGTTCTGGAAAGGCCTAGAGCCAGCATGCATCTTGGGCTGGGGAGGCTGATGGGCACACAGAGGGAAAGAAGGCATCCTCTGCCCTCAGAGACTTGGGCAGGACCCAGATCCTCAAAGCGCAGGGCAGCATCACTTCAGAGCACAAATGCACAGGCATCGAAAGAAGAAAGGCCACATCTGGGGCAGAGAAATTAGGAAAGCTTCATTCTTGGGTAGGTCTGGAAGGTGGGGGAATGATTGACGAAGTCCAGCGTGCCTATCTATTTTACGACCTTGTCTCAAGGTCAAATCACAAGACTGAGATTCTATTTCATCTGCCAAGTCGGGATTGATGTCTCCTTCCCACTTTCAGTTCCTTGGAAAAGCAGGGCCTGGTAAAAGCCATGTACTATTATTACCCTCAGGAAGGATGCCAAGAACCGAGTTCTGAGATGTCCCACCCCAGATTTGAGCCCAGCCCAAGCATGCACAGCGGATGGGCTTCGGCCAGTGCCGTCCCGGCCAGTCCCCAGAGCTCTGGTGGGAATGTGTTTAATTGCATGACACTAGCTCTGAGTGGGCCCAGAGGATATTGGTCATATGACAATTGTCAGATCAGCTGGCTGCAGAGCCCTGCAGCTGGTATAAATGGGGGCAAGCCAGGGGGGTATCTGGGTGTGTAACAAAATTAGATTAGAGATGGAGGTACTCTCTCCCAGTCCTAATATTCTCTCAGGGCCCAGCCCCAGTCTGACCGGCCAAGCCTTCTTGTGGCCATCCGTACCTGGACTGACCATGGCTTTGTGTCGCTGCCCCAGACTGCCTGTGTTCCGGGTATTATGCCCATGTTGCTTTCCCAGGGGAGCCCTGGGCCCTCTGCAGAGTGCCCACCGCAGCAAGAGCACACAGCAAGTGCCCAGGAAAAATGATGCTCTCCCCTTTCTCTTCGTCAGGCAACCAGAGGACCTTTCCGAAATCTGGTGACACGAGTGCTTTGAAGTTCTAAGTAAGATATTTTGGAAGTGGACAGTAGCCCCCACCCGAGCAGCAGGAACAGATTTCCTGAGGGGCCATGGGAACCGGGCTCTCAGGCCAGCACCACTAGGAGAAAGTTAGGGTTCTTTCATCAGGCAGCATCATGACATCTTGGGAGCCCAGAGGCGATCTGATTTTCCACCGGCCACTGCAACCCCAAGTCAGCCTTCCTCCCCCCGCGCTGCAGCCCCTTCCGCCCCCTTCACCTGTCCTGGCCCTCACTTGGGCAGGGTGGCCCGAAGATGGAGAAAACAGCCCTGTAGGATGTGGCCCCTTGATCCTGGGACATGTTCAAAAGAATGTAAAAAGCACACACAAGATGTACTAACGACTGTGTTTGGAAGGGTTCTGTGATGGAACACGCCAGAACTGAGAGAAAATCTCACCTGTAACCACAAAGAGATTCAGTCTGATTCAGTGGCTTGGAAACTGGTATCCAAAAACACCCTTGCTGGGGGGCCAGGAAACTTCTACCCTCCCACAGGCTGTGGGGCCTTCGATGGTCTCTCTCAGACCCACTCTGGGGGTGGAGGGTAGAAAACCAACCAGGAAAGGGTATCCCCCTCATTTCCTTCGTCTCCTTAGGCCACATGAATACTTCTTTCCAGCCAGCTAAAGGGGCTTGGCCAGACCCTGACACCGAACAGAGGGGCCTTCTTGAGCCTCCCAGTCTGAGGTGACTCTGCTGTCACCTACCAAGTTACCTTACATGAACTCAGCTTTCATCTCGGCTCTTTGATCAATCCCTTCCCCATCACATGCCCGCAGCTCCCTATTTGTTTCTTCCTTTACAAAATAAATGCCCTGGAATGATTCTACAGAATGACTAGCCAGAGCAAGTCTAGATTCTAAGCAAGAACCGGCTCCAGGTACAGACCCATGACATATCAGAAGAGCAAGGCTTTGGAGTTTGGGTCTACTACAGTCTGAGCCTGTTTCTTTGTCTGTTAAACAGAGCAAGAACTCCGACCTCAGAGCTATGGTCAAGAGTAAATGAGTAACATTTGTAAAGTGCATGGCTCACAGCTGACATTCAGTTCGTATCTGCTGAATGGGCCCATCACACCCCATTCGTCTTCCCCAGGCCACACACCGTTTGTACACAATTTCCCTAGCTCCAAGGTCTTCCCTGAAAAATAGACTCCTTCCTCTCCCACAGTAATAACCTCGGAACTCTCCAGTTCACGCCCCCAGAGATATCAAGCTGCTGTGTAGCCCGATGGGGGCAGCAGGTGAGTGCATAGCAGAGTGCAGAGCACTGTGTTAGGAATCTGAAGGTCACACTTAGGGCACTTTTTGAGGTCTTCATGTATTTAACATCCATCACGCAGGATGATCTCTAATCTACACGCCGGAAATCTGATAGCTTGCCTTTGGGGAAAGGTCTCCCCAATTCTAAGTACTTTGAACATTAACTCTGGTGGCCTCAGTGGGTCGACCATCCACCTGAGGAAGAAGACAGCATTTGACACAGATGTTCCTCCACCAGATCACCTTTCCCCATAAGCTACCCTTCACGGTGATGTTTCTCCAGCCAAGGCATGGCCGTGAAGGCAAGTGCTGGTCTGAACTGACGGCACAAATCACGTCTCCCCCTTGTTGCTGCGAATGTGCGAGTCCACAGCAGCCGGGATGACTGAGGAATGACATCGGCTCATGCCTACTGAACCCTTACTGTGTCCCGGGCACCATGAATGCCTTCCACCCAGCATCTCATCAAGTTGAATCTTTACCACAATCCTCTGAGGTAAGGACTATTGTTGCCCCATTTTACAGATGAAGAAACTGAGGCTTACCGGCATGAGGGGACTTTCCCAAGGTCACAAAGCTGTTCCAAGTGGCACTGGGACGCAGAACCACATCTGCCTCCAACCGCAGCAAAAGTCACCAGGCTCCGAAGAGCCGGAAGGAACCCGGGACGGAACTCACCTGATAGGAAAGGCCATCCTTTCGGGGGTTGAGGCCAATCTCCTCCATGGATGGGGTGTTCATCATCACTTCAGTCATCTCGGCAGATCGCAGATAGTCGGGGCTGCCAAGAAACCCAGACCCAAAGTCAACAAACACACGCACTTTCACATTCCTATCCTTGGTGCTTTCTGCTTTTAGATCAGGGGACTGTCTGGGGGCAGGATGAGGTGTTCAAAACAGAACTCAGAGAAAAACAAGCTCACACCCTGAGGAAGTGCCTTATAAGCCCAGGGCATCAGGGCCCTCAGCCTCAGCCAACAAAGCCCTGAAAGTGCCTGAAAACCGCTCTGGCAAACCTCTCTTTCCTCCTCTCCTGTACAAGTCCTCACTGGCACAGAGCACTCTGGATTTTCTTTGTGATAGTGACAGAACTAGAAAAAAACCCAAATAGTAGGTAGCTGAGCCCATCTGCCTATATTAAAACCAATTCAACCCGTCTCTAGGGGAACTGCATATTATTATTACATAATGATAACGGGTCAACCTCAGGGAAACCAAGTCCAATAATGCTGCCTTCCCAAATTCCTCTCTCTCTTCCTCTCTCTCTGGTGTTCCTTTTTGCAAAATGTCCCACTTAAAGCCCCAAGGGGTCAGCTTTCTGCAGGCTTCACATCTGCCATCCAACCCCCTTCCCTACACAGCAGCTGCAAGCTCACAGCTTGAAAAACATCCCCTGGATTAAAAGCCTTAAGGATGCCCGGACTCTGATTGCAAAGGAAATTTCCAGAGGGGCCAAGCTGGCCCACCAATGGCTGACATGTGAAAGTGCTTTGTACTCTGTAAGCAGGATACAAACGTTCCATTATCCTCACTCAAACCACGGGCACATACAGGGTCCCGAGTGCATAATGCCAAATAGTACATACCAGTCAGTGCACTCCCTACACAACACCCAATATTTTCATCATCATGCCTTTACACAGTTACAAAAGAAAGAAAGAAAGAAATGTCGGCAAGGCTTTAAAGGGACTACATCTAAGGAAACAGGGGTTTCCTTAGATTCTTCTTCATTTCATCATTACTACACAGAGTAGAAACAGCATTGGATTTGGAAACAGAAGCATTAGGTCTGGTCCAGGCTCTGCCACTCAAGAGCTGTGTGATCTGGAACAAGTAATATAACCTCTCTGAGCCACAGGTGCCCTGTTTCTTACCATGATGCTAATAATGCATATATCACACTTAACGCTAAACGGCTCATCTCTGGGGTGGAAAAACCGTTGCAAGCTATGACCTGCTAATCAACTATAAAATAATTCCCAATTATTTTATTTCCCTTAATTTCTCAGGGGATAATAACCCTGATGGGCCCTAACACCCACCTTGGCAAGTTTTGAGTGGCCAGGGGCACAAAGCCTCCAGCAGACTTCGACGTCTCACCCACATGGCACCTGGCTGCTCACACACCAGGGAGGTGGGAGGGGAGCGGCGCCCCTAAGGAGGGGGTACGCAAGCCTCACGGGTGGGGGAATTTTTACTTTGTTCTGAGAGTTCATTTCTCTAAACAGAGCCAGGGTGGGGGAGGAGAGACAGAAGATGCTGGGCTTCCGGGCAAGGGTTAGGGTCAGGAAGGGAGGGGGGAGGGGACTCCAAAGGAGGATTCATCCCGGGTCCTGGAAAGGCTGCCGCCGGCCCCCAAAGAAACGGGCCCACGGGGCTCTCGCCAGGCTCTTCGCCTGGTGTAGGGGCGCTCGCTCCTCGCTCCGGGCTGCGGCGCGGGCCCCAAAAGTTGAAGCGAGAAGCAGGAACTTCCCGGTTCCTGGGCTGAGCAAGACAGCGCGCAGTTGGAACCCGCGAGTCCGGCCCGCCGCGCCCGCACCTGAGGGCGCCCTCCCGCGCCGTCAGTGCTTCCCCGCGGCCGCTCCTCCTCTTCCCGGGCGCAGGAAGGAAGCGGCAGCCGGCGCGGCCGGGGGCCTCGCTCCGCAACCAGCGCGGCGCCCGCGGCGCATCCCTCCCGGCCCAGGTCCCGGGTCCGTGCGCACGTCCTCCGCCCCCCGGCCCGGCCCCGGCTTCTTCCAGCCCGGCCCCGGCTTCTTCCAGCCCGGCCCCGGCTTCTTCCAGCCCGGCGGGTGAGAGCGGCTCCCCGGCCCCAGCCCGGGCCCCCACAAAGGCGCATCGGGTTTTGAGGAGGAATGAGATCGAGAGGGCGCAGCGTGTGTTTGTGCTGCTGCTTGTGGCTTTCATCGGGTTCCGTGTGGGGAGAGCGTTTTTCCCCACCCCTCGAAGCTCTGCAAAAGCCGCCGCTGCACCAGCTCAGCCCCGCTGCCGCCGGCCTCGACGCCGAGACTTGCATGCAAACAAAAAGAAAAAGGGGAGGGGCCGGGGCAGAGCAGGAGCCCCCTGCGCCAGCCCGGGCGCGTGCCTCCTGCAGCCCTCCGCATTGGGCGTTCTATTAGCGGGATTCAGGCTTGATCCCTGGTTCTCCCCCCACCCCACCACCAGCACATACACACCCTCCCAGCCGTCACTTAAGTGAGGGCTTCGAGTTCACTCCCTTTGTCTGGATGGTCTCGGCACCACCGGCCCCCACCCCCACCTTTGCAACCTTGACGTTGACTCCGGCAGGGGCTGGGGCGGCGGGTGAGTGTCTGCGCCCGCGCCGCCTGCTGCCCTCGCACCCGAGCCCGCAGGAGCGGGCGCCCGGGCCCCGCAGCCATGGCCGAGATACGGTTGCCCGCCGAGGGCGCCGGATACTCACCAGTGAATGGGGAAATACACAGACATGAAGTCCGAGGGGAGGCTGACCCACGCCCTTGTGATTTAAAAACGGCCACCGCGTCCCGAATAAGGATGTCAGGGGCGCAGACAGGCGCGGCAGGCGGCGGAGTGCGGGCACTAGGCGTTCGCCGGTCCGCCTTCCGGAGACAGCCCCGCTGCCAGCTGCGTCGGCAGAGCACACGGAGCTCTCGGTTCCCCACCGAGCCCGCAGCCCCACAAAGAGCCCGGGAAGCTGTATTTATAGGGGCGGGGGCGGGGCTCGGCCGCGGGAGGCCCCGCCCCCCTCTCGCCCACTCCTGGAATAACGTCACCAAAATCATGAATGGCTTCAGCGCTCGCAGCTCCTGCGGGCGGCGGCTCGGGGGCGCGCTCGGCTCAGCTCCCCGAAGGCTGTGGTTTGCTTCCAGCCGGGCTCCCTCCCGAAGACTCACACACGCAGACACGCGCGTGGACACGCGCGCGCACACACGCACGCACCAGTTCAATGTCAACGCCTCTTCCTGACGACAAACCCGCCCGTGTCCGCGGCCCCCTTCTTGCACACACCCCTGGGCACTCGGGGCGGAGGATCGTGGGCTTGAGGAGGGCGCTGGACCCGCTCCGGACGTGACCGCTCGGCGGCCGCGCTGCGCGGTAGGAGGGCGCCATCGCTCGACCCTGGATGCCTGGCGCCGGCGCCCTCCTCTGCACCTTCTCGCAGTTCCCAACCCCATAACTCGGGACCCCTCTTCAGCGTTCATCCCCCAAACTAGGCCTCGCCCGTGACACCTCGATCGCTGCGCCCGAGGCGCGTCCCTTCCATCTCCGGCAAGCTGCGTGGAAATGGGAGCATCACGAAAAAAAAAGAGGTGGCGGAAAGCAGGGAGGGGGCGCGAAGCTGGGGAGACCCACTGCCTGTGGGGATTCGCGTTAGCTTGCAAGGGGCTGGTCTGCAGCCCGCAGATCCGTGGAGGATTTTATTTGTGTGAGAAAGGATGTGGTGTCGTCGTAGGGTTTTTCCATTGGACACCTACACAACGGCGGCGCGGGGCAGGGGGTGCGGGTGGGCACCGCACAAGCACACCACACTAGCCTTGGCTCCGGATCTGCTGCAACGGGAAGAAACAAAGAAACAAACCCCTCCCACACTGCCCAGGAATTACAACTCCAGGGGTCTGCCCAGGTGGTCAGGCTTCTCAGCCCCCAGAGCCAGGACGGGAGTCTGCCCCTCTGTGGCTGGAGCGCGTTGCTTCACACCTCTGCTTCACAAACTCCTGTAAAATGGCTTTATAACCCTGATCTATATGTGTACTGCGGATTGAGGAAGTGTGTGTGTGCAGAAGAGGAAGGGGGAGCTTTCAAAAACTTGGCAAAATTAAATGTGCTTTGAAGTCAGTCAGCTCTTTCAACGTAGTGAAGGTATTGAATCCATATATACATTTAAAAGTGGAAATACATAAGCTTATCTCAGGTGAAAGATAATAGGATTAATGGTGAGGGCTTAACCGTGGCAGGACCATGAGGAGGCCCTCAGAATTTTCATCAGCCCTCCCAAGCTAACCCAAATAAAAATAACAATGGGAATTAAGTAAAAACAACTTTGCTATTTTGGGTCATTCATATATATGACCTGAGTAATAGTGTACTTCCTATGAAAACACAGCTTCAAGACAACCCCTCACTCCCTGCCTCCCCCTCCCAGTTGTTCCTTCCAACCTGAGAAATTCAGGAGCTTCTGCTCACCCCCACCCCACCCCATAAGATAAATCAGAAATTGATTCATGCTGCCAAGTACCACCTCCATGCTCCTCCTCTGGAGATAGTGTACTGATGGAGGTCGATGCTTCTGTGGACAGGTGCTAAGGGGAGATGCTCCAGTATGGGATTACTGCTAACAGAGGGGGCTGTTTGTGCCTTTTGCATAGGGTGGAGAAGATTCTCAAAGACTGGGTGGGACATGTTGTCATCTACATAGTCAAAGGAGAAGCCAGTGTTTGGAGAGCTGATTTCCATCCTGCGACTGAGGTCGGCCCTGGGAGAGCAGGACTCATGTCCCCTGCCATTTCTCCCCAGTAGCAATCCCTGGCAAGGCCTGGGATGAAAGACTGACTCACCATTTTTACATACCAACAGCCCAGCATTACTATTTGTGATTATCGCTTGTGAAACCTTCTAGACTCAGAAAGCTACCCCCGGCCCCTTGCAACACACACACCTTCAAGTGTCAAAATGGCCTCATTTTGAAGAGGGTGGGATGGAAGTTCTCCACCAGCAGATGTCCGGCCTCCTGAAAAATCTCCCCCATTGGAGAACCTTGAGGTAACTCCCTGATGCCTGTTCTTGAGGAAACTTTATATTAATGCCCATTTTAAGTGAAACTTACCTCTTGTCAGTAAGTTGGAGTGGAAAGCAAGCCTTGGGTTAGAACTCCAAATCTACACTTTCTGTTTCCCCTCTGAAACCATGGTGACACATTCATTCATATGAAAATATGGGAGGCAGGGGGCTAAACTTTGGTGTCACTATAACAACTACACCATTTCTCAATCGTAATACTTTATGTAGTGCCCTGCCATTTTTTAAAGCATTTTCATGATCTCAGCTTTCAAAAGAATGTAATAAGATTACCATAGCACAAATATAGTCCCTAGTCTAGAGTGTGCAAACCGAGTCTGAAATTAGGGCACTTGCCGAAGATCACACAGCTACTCTGCTACATTGCTCTGATCATATCTGTAAAGACACAGGGTATCTGAACATGCAGACTGACCACGGCTTACCAATATCCTATGAGATAGGTTTCTATCCCTACTGCCTTCAAATAAAGAAACAGAAACACCAGTGAATGAAGTTAACATGGAGGCCCAGAATCTTAGGGCTGAAAGAGACCTTCCAAATCACCGAGTCCAGTCTCCTCAGTTTACAGGTGAGAAGACACCTAAGAGATTAAATGGCATGTCCAAGGCTATTAAATGGTGTAGATGGAACCTGAACGCAGGCCTTCAGACCACTGGTCAAATGTTCTTTCCACTACAACACTATGCCTCTGCCAAGAAGTCAGCAGCAGAAGTCAAACACACGATCTGGACTCTCCCAACCCTGTCAGCCCACCACTGGCATTTCCTGAGCATCTACTATGTGCCACTCAGTGAACTAAACAGCCCTCTGCACTCCCTCCCTCTGCCACCTTTGTCTTCAGGGACTCAAGAGTCCAATTGCAATTCTGCTTCAATAAAAATCAAAGTGTAATCAGAACTGCCTTGTTTTCCAACATTGCCTAAATCCAGTTTCCCAGCTCCTTTTCTCTCGCACCTAAAAATAAGAATTAAAAAAAGAATAAAGGTACTGACTTACCCATGGCATCACTGTGCAGGTATGCAGGCCATGTAGCTAATTACTCATTGAGTAAAAATGTCTCCATCTAAATTCCTTTAGCAATGTATTTCCATGCTTTATCTCCCTCCTGTCTTGCAAAAAGACAGTATTGCTTTTAATCTGCCTCGTAGTGGTGAAGCTGGTGCTTTGTTCAGCTCTAAGGGACTTCACAAAGTAGATGTTGGCTAAGGTGCACTTGTGTCTGCTAGCATGTTTACACCTCACGACGACTTTAAGACATAGGCACTATTATCCCATTTGTCAGATGAAGAAAGAGAGGCTCTGACAGGTCAAGTAACTGGGCCGTAGCCACACAGTTCTGGCTGAACCAGAATTTGACTCTGGGCCTTGTTGGTTCTAAAGTCTATGTTTTCCCCATGATACTACACTTATTCTGGCCCTTGTGGCTTTATTTGTTTTAACAGATAAGCTACAAATTGAATATAAAATGTTAGTTCCGGGAGCACCTGGGTGGTTCAGTCAGTTAAGCACCCAACTCTTGATTCGGCTCAAGTCATGATCTCAGGGTTGTGAGATTGAGCCCCACCCCCCGACTCCACCCCAGCCCCACCCCCCACCCCACCCCACCCCCCACCCCCGTGTTGTCGTCGTTGTCGTCGTCGTCCTCGTCATCATCATCATCATCATCACCACTGGGCTCCATGCTCAGCAGGGAGTCTGCTTCTCTCCCTCTCCCTCCCCCCCTCTCCCTGCTCACTCTCTCTCTCTCTCAAATAAATAAATCTTTTTTAAAAATGTTAGTTCCAGGGGCGCCTGGGTGGCTCAGATGGTTGAGCGTCTGCCTTCGGCTCGGGTCATGATCCCAGGGTCCTGGGATCGAGTCTTGCATCGGGCTCCCTGCTAGGCGGAGAGCCTTCTTCTCCCTCTGCCTCTGCCTCTCTCTCTCTCCCTCTCTCTGACTCTCATGAATAAATAAATAAAACATTTTTAAAAATCTATAAAAAAAATTTTAGTTCCAATAGCAAAGATCAGGACTACTAGAGTCCATCTGGTGGGGTAGGGCTGGCAGCATAAATAAATTTCCCATCCTGGGAATCTGGGAGCTTCTTAAAGATATCAGTCAAAGGCTTGGGGTTTAAAAAAAAAAACTGAGTAGAAGAAGGGGAGTTTTTAGCCAATTTTTTCAGTGTAACTCATTTGAGTACATAAAAATCTGAAAGGCAAGAATGTGTGTGGGTTGATGTGAGGATGAAATGAGATAGTGTTATGAAAACACTTGGTAAGCTGGAAAGCACTGAGCAGACGCAGGGCTTGTTTTTAAGGTGTTTTGGGGGAAAAGATGGGGTTCAGCAGAGTTGCTTGCATCTGCTTTGGTTTTTCACTCATTTCAGGCAAGGACCGCCCCATTTTCCCCTGGAGTCCCTTGACTGAAGTTTCCAGCACTGGGGGGAGGGGGGGAGCAGTCATGAGAGGCAAGTAGTGAAGCTCTGCCCAGCGGGTCCTGCTGTGGTCCCAGCGTCCCCCCATTACCCCTCACCCCCTACGAGTTCCTCCAGTCTTTGGTGCCTCTCGGCAAGCGTCCAGCTGGGTTCTGGACGCACGATGAACGCCCGACCTGAGTGCGGGCATGCTTTCCCACGTCAGCTGTCAGGGGACTAGTCCTCACACGAAACCACCAAACCCACCAGACAAAATCCTCTAGCCTTTGACTTACTTTGCTGTAAGTTGTCAGGCATGGCTTCTCTGTGTCCCAGACTCCTAAAGCAGTAAAGCGGGCAATAGGAATCTTTTGAGCTCTCAGAACTCTAATAAGGCCAAGAGAAATTGCTTCTGTAAATGCTCAAGGGGAAAGCACTTGGCCTCCTATCATCCAGGCTCCAAGGCCCGACA